TCTTCTTCTTCTTCTTCTTCTTCTTCTTCTTCTTCTTCTTCTTCTTCTTCTTCTTCTTCTTCTTCTTCTTCTTCTTCTTCTTCTTCTTCTTCTTCTTCTTCTTCCCCTCTCTCTCTCTTCGTCTCCATCCCTCCTTGCTTTCCTTCCAGCGTCTTTCTCTTCCCTGACCGGCCTCCCTCTCCTTGCAGGGCGTGAAGGAGGTGACCCTCTTGGGGCAGAACGTCAACAGCTACCGAGACACCTCCGAGGTCCAGTTCCTCTCGGGGGCGCCCGCCCCCCTGAGCCGCGGCTTCAGCACCGTCTACAAACCCAAAGCGGGGGGCTTGCGCTTCGCGGCCCTCCTGGACCGGGTGTCCCTGGTTGACCCTGAAATGCGGATCCGCTTCACCTCCCCGCACCCCAAAGACTTCCCGGACGAGGTGCGTTTGGCCCAGGGCTGGCCGGCCATCTGTAGGAGGGCAGGGCTGGGTTCGGGTTTCCTCCAAGCAAACCGTGGCCAGCGGGTTGGGGCTCTGTGAACGACATCTCTCTCCCTGGCAGGTCTTCCAGCTCATGCGGGAAAGACCCAACCTCTGCAAGCAGATCCACCTCCCAGCTCAGAGTGGCAGCACCCGTGTCCTGGAGGCCATGCGGCGAGGGTGAGCGAGAGGCAGGGCCTGGCGGCCCCCTTGGAAAAGACAGCAGCATCTGCCTTGCTGGGCTCTTTTTATCAAGCCAGGGGTTAAAAAAGGGTTCTCGAGTTCTAAGAAGGTGGAAATATTCCATAACATAACGTTGCTCTTTTTTTTTTGCAGCTGCTGGTGTGACCTTGGGTCAGTCACAAGTTCTCTCAGAGCTGTTCTCTCAGGAGCAGTCCTCGAAAGAGCTCTCTCAGCCCCGCCTACCTCACAGGGTGTCTGTTGTGCGGAGGGGGAGGGAAAGGAGTTTGTCAGCCGCTCTGAGACTCCTTCGGGTAGGGCAGGGCGGGGTATAAATCCAATCTCCTCCTCCTCTTCTTCTTCCAAAACATGTAGTAGCCAAGCATGGAAGAAGAAGAAGGGGGGGGAGGAGGTGATGATGATGATTGGATCTATACCGCGCCCTTTACTCGGGAGTTTCAGAGCGGCACCCTGTGAGGTAGGTGGGTCTGAGAGAGCTCTTGACAGAAACTGCTCTTTTTCAAGGACACCTCTTATCAGAACTACGGCTTGCCCAATGTCATCCACATCAAAACAGCCACATTTTAGACAAGTCAGTTGCAGAGCCTTAATTACAGATGCTGAACTTCCTTCCCTTTTTCCAAATGCTTCCTAAATCTAAGTCCAAAAGTAGAAACCCGAACTTTTATCTCTGATGTCCCACAGTACTTACCTTTTGTAGGCATTCCAGCACTTTGGATGTGTATGCTTCCTGACATAGATAGGGTTGAAATGGGAAGTCCACAGTAATGCCGTTTAATTTATTTCATCTGATGCACCAGGATCTTTGCTGAAGATAGATCAAGATGGGTAGCCATGTTAGTCTGTCTGTAGCAGTAGAAAAGAGCCAGCGTCCAGGAGCGCCTTAAAGGCTAACAAAATTTGGGGCAGGGGAGGAGCTTCCGTGAGCCGCTGTTCACTTCTTCAGAGCTGTGACTCACAAAAGCTCCTCCCTTGCCATAAATTTTGCTGGTCTTTAAGGTGCTCCTGGAATCTTCCTGTTTTCTACGGCTCTTGGCCTCGCCTACCTTGCAAGTTTGTTGTTAAAATAAAATGGGGAAAGGAAAGGCATGCTCTGAACTCCTTGAAGGAGGAGTTGTGTTGGGTTGTGAGTGTACGGATTTCTGTGGCCACCTGTGCTCCGGCATCCGCATCGCGTGACTCTCCTTTCCCCTCGCAGGTACACCCGGGAGGCGTACTTGGAGTTGGTGCACCACATCCGAGCCTCCCTGCCAGGTAGACACCTCCTCTGCTTTGGATCTGCTCCCCTGTTGACTGCACCTTTGACAGACTGAGCCCGCAGGTTGGAGGGTTTTTCACCGAGAGAGGAACGGTGAAGATTAAAAGCGTTTGGCCTCCCTCACTCTGTGCACCTGTTGGGAAGGGGGACCCGACAGAGGCTTCACTGCAGAGTGGCATCCTGTATCTTTTCTCTTGTGCTTCTCCTGAGAACAAAGGCCTTTATCATTCTTAGCCATATACACGCTGAACAAGTAGAACAACAAGAAGAAGAGATTGGATTCATACCCGTCTCTTCACTACCCAACGGCGTCTCAGAGATTCTTACAAACTCCTTTCCCTTCCCCTCCCCACAGCAAACACCCTGTGAGGGAAGTGGGGCTGAGAGAGCTCTCCCGAGGACGGGCCTTGAGAGAACAGCTCTGAGAGAACTTGTGACTGACCCAAGGTCACACCAGCAGGTGCAAGTGGAGGAGTGGGGAATCAAACCCGGTTCTGCCAGATTAGAATCCGCGCACTTAACCACGACACCAAACCGGACCCTGTTGTTTATTGTCAGCTTGCTGATGCTTTATACTCTTGTGGCTGGCCAAGTCATATGCATAATGTAGTCTGTGTTTTAAGGCTTTGACATATTTATGATGAGCTGTCTCAGGTTTCATTCCAAAACTTACATTAATACGCATTCCTGGTTGCCTTCGAAACTTTAGGAAGCAGGGGGATTCTCCCATAGTATCATTCTTTGTATTATTACAAGGAAGAAGAAGAGGAGGATGAGGAGAGTGGATCTATACCCCAACTTCGCTACCCAAAGGAGTCTCAGAGCGGCTCACAAACTCCTTTCCCTTCCCCTCCCCACAACAGACACCCTGTGAGGTAGGTGGGGCTGAGAGAGCTCTTTCCAGGACTGCTCGTGAGAGAACAACTCTTATCAGAACTACGGCTTGCCCAAGGTTATCCAGCCAGGTGCAAGTGAAGGAGTGGGGAATCAAACCCGGTTTCTCAGATTAGAGTCTGCGCACTTAACCACTACACCAAACTGGCTCTCACTCAAAGAAGCCCTCCCACTGTTGCCCCCCCCCCCAAGCACCAAGAAGACAGAGCATCCCTTGCCCCAGACCAAGCGTTCCTACCTATACCTTGTGGCTAATAGCCATTGATGGACCTCTGCTCCATGTGTTTATCTAATTCCCTCTTGAAGCCGTCCATGTTTGGTTTGGTGTAGTGGTTAAGTGCACGGACTCTAATCTGGGAGAACCGGGTTTGATTCCCCACTCCTCCCCTTGCACCTGCTGGATGACCTTGGGCAAGCCATAGTTCTGGCACAGCTGTTCTTGGAAAAAAAAGAGTAATTTCTGTCAGCCCCACCTTGTGTGTTGGGGGAAGGGGAAGGGAAGGGAGTTTGTAAGCCGCTCTGAGACTCCTTTGGGTAGTGAAGGGCAGGGTATAAATCCAATCTCTTCTTCTTCTATTGCCTACTCAGACTGTCAGCAGTCCTCCAGGGTCTCAGGCAGATCTTTTAGCTGGAGATGCTGGGGATTGAACCTGGGAACTTCTGTATGCCAGGGAGAGGCTGTTCCACTGAGCCCCTTCCCATACTTCTCCAGGGTCTCAGGCGGAGGTCTTTCCCATCACCTACTGCTTGTTCCTTTTAACTGGAGACACCAGTGATTGAACCTGGGACCTTCTGCATGCAAGGCAGAGGCTCTTCCACTGAGCCACAGCCCCTCTTGACAGCTCTCCAGGGTCTCAGGCAGAGGTCTTTCCCATCATCTACTGCTTGGTCCTTTTTAACTGGAGATGCTGGAGATTGAACCTGGGACCTTCTGCATGCCAGGCAGAGGGTCTTCCACAGAGCCACAGCCCCTTCCCATAGCTCTCCAGGGTCTCAGGCAGAGGTCTTTCCCATCACCTCCTGCCTGGTCCTTTTAACTGGAGACACCAGTGATTGAACCTGGGACCTCCTGCGTGTCAAGCAGAGGCTCTTCCACTGAGCCACAGCCCCTTCCCATAGGTCTCCAGGGTCTCAGGCGGAGGTCTTTCCCATCACCTCCTGCCTGGTCCTTTTAGCTGGAGATGCCGGGGATTGAACCTGGGACCTCCTGCATGTCAAGCAGAGGTTCTTCCACTGAGCCACCCCTTCCCATAGGTCTCCAGGGTCTCAGGCGGAGGTCACCTACTGCCTGGTTCTTTTAGCTGGAGATGCCGGGGATTGAACCTGGGACCTTCTGCATGCCAGGCAGAGGCTCTCCCGCTGAGCCACAGACCTTCCATTCAAAGCAGTGTAAGGTGTCTCAGGAAGAAGGCCAGGGCCCACTCCCTTGGCTGGATGTGGATAATTCTGCTTCCCCCAGTCGGTGTTACCGCTGAGCTTTCTGTTTTCGTGCTTTTGGCAGGCGTCAGCCTCAGCAGTGATCTCATCGCCGGCTTCTGCGGGGAGACGGAGGCCGACCACCAGCAGACGATCTCTCTCTTGCGCCAGGTCCGCTACAACGTGGCCTTCATCTTTGCCTACAGCATGCGGCAGGTGAGGGCACCCGGTCCAGGTGAAATCCCCGGGGAGGGGAGTCTGGGGATGGCAAATGGGGTGAAGGGCCCAACAGTTGGCATTTGTTGGCCTCAGAGCTGGTTCTCCTGATCCAAGTACAGGAAAAAAGACCTGTTTATTAGCCTTGTGCATGGGAGCGGGCTTGGCGTCTTTACATTTTTGTCACTAATCCCAGAAGGGACTGTTTCTGTATTGGGTTGTTTTGTGTGGTTTTCTTTTGTTAATTGTTTCTTTCGTTGCTGTTGTTTTGTTTTCATAATTGGTTTCAGTGGAAGACACACTTCCTCCTCCTTTCCTCCGGTCTGTACCTACGTGGTTTCCACCCAAATTGACCAAAACCATAGGGGGCTGTAGTATTCCACCCGGACACCCAAATTTCACACAAATAGAATGAAGCCCCACCTCCCTTTTTTCAGGAATTCTTCTGGAGGGCCAACAACAGGGCAGAGAGGCCGAGGCCTTCATAATAACATCAAAAGAGCCCTGCCGGATCAGGCCAGTGGCCCACCTAGTCCAACCTCCTGTCTCCCACAGTGGCCACCCATTTCCTCTGGAGGGCCAACAACAGGGCATAGAGGCTGAGGCCTTCATAAGAACTTTAGAAGAGCCCTGCTGGACCAGACCAGTGAGGGTCCATATAGTCCAGCATCCTCTCTCACAGAGTGACCCACCAGTTCCCCTGGAGGGCTAACCGCAGGGCATAGAGGCCGAGGCCTTCATAAGAATATCAGAAGAGCCCTGCTGGGTCAGACCAGTGAGGGTCCATCTGGTCCAGCATCCTGTCTCACACAGTGGTCAACCAGTTCCTCTGGAGGGCCAACAACAGGGCACAGAGGCCGAGGCCTTCATAAGAACCTCAGAAGAGCCCTGCTGGGTCAGACCAGTGAGGGTCCATCTAGTCCAGCATCCTGTCTCACACAGGGGCCAACCAGTTCCCCTGGAGGGCCAGCAACAGGGCATAGAGGCTGAGGCCTTCATAAGAACCTAAGAAGAGCCCGGCTGAGTCAGACCAGTGAGGATCCATCTAGTCCGGCATTCTGTCTCACACAGGGGCCAACCAGTTCCCCTGGAGGGCCAACAACAGGGCACAGAGGCCGAGGCCTTCATAAGAACCTCAGAAGAGCCCTGCTGGGTCAGACCAGTGAGGGTCCATCTAGTCCAGCATCCTGTCTCACACAGTGGCCTTCCAGTTCCTCTGGAGGGTCAACAACAGGGCACAGAGGCCGAGGCCTTCATAAGAACCTAAGAAGAGCCCGGCTGAGTCAGACCAGTGAGGATCCATCTAGTCCGGCATTCTGTCTCACACAGGGGCCAACCAGTTCCCCTGGAGGGCCAGCAACAGGGCATAGAGGCCGAGGCCTTCATAAGAATATCAGAAGAGCCCTGCTGAGTCAGACCAGTGAGGGTCCATCTAGTCTGGCCTCCTGTCTCACACAGTGGTCAACCAGTTCCTCAGGAGGGCCAACAACAGGGCAGAGAGACCGAGGCCTTCATAAGAACCTCAGAAGAGCCCGGCTGAGTCAGACCAGTGAGGGTCCATCTGGTCCAGCATCCTGTCTCACACAGTGGCCATCCAGTTCCTCTGGAGGGCCAACAACAGGGCACAGAGGCAAAGGCCTTCATAAGAACATCAGAAGAGCCCTGCTGGATCAGACCAGGGAGGGTCCATCTCTGGTCCAGCATCTTGTCTCCCACAGTGGCAAACCAGTTCCCCTAGAGGGCCAGCAACAGGGCAGAGAGGCCGAGGCCTTCATAAGAACATCAGAAGAGCCCTGCTGGATCAGACCAGGGAGGGTCTATCTAGTCCAGCATCCTGTCCCACACAGTGGCCAGCCAGTTCCCCTGGAAGGCCAACAACAGGGCAGAGAGGCCGAGGCCTTCATAAGAACATCAGAAGAGCCCTGCTGGATCAGACCAGGGAGGGTCCATCTCTGGTCCAGCATCTTGTCTCCCACAGTGGCAAACCAGTTCCCCTAGAGGGCCAGCAACAGGGCAGAGAGGCCGAGGCCTTCATAAGAACACCAGAAGAGCCCTGCTGGATCAGACCAGTGAGGGTCCATCTAGTCCGGCCTCCTGTCTCACACAGCGGCCAACCAGTTCCCCTGGAGGGCCAACAACAGGGCAGAGAGGCCGAGGCCTTCATAAGAACATCAGAAGAGCCCTGCTGGATCAGACCAGGGAGGGTCCATCTCTGGTCCAGCATCTTGTCTCCCACAGTGGCAAACCAGTTCCCCTAGAGGGCCAGCAACAGGGCAGAGAGGCCGAGGCCTTCATAAGAACACCAGAAGAGCCCTGCTGGATCAGACCAGTGAGGGTCCATCTAGTCCAGCATCCCGTCTCACACAGTGACCAGCCACTGAGCCTGAAGAACAGTAACGTGAGGAAGAGGCAGGCTGACCAGGCAGAGGCATTTGGTGGCACAAGGAGGGTTTGAGCCATCTGGGCGGGCAGGTGGGCAGCAGACGGAGGGCCGTGATCTAGATTTGCTTGGATAAGGGATGAGGTCAGGAGAGCAGCTGGTAAGCAGGGGTGTGCAGACTGCCCGGGAACAGTTGTCCCAGGGGGGCAGACCTTGGATCTAGAGAGGAAGGCAGAGTCACAGATTCATAGAATCATAGAGCTGGAAGGGACCTCTGGGGTCATCTACTCCTACCCCCTGCACAGTGCAAGGGATTCACAAATGCCCCCCCCCCCCCCCCCCCCCCCGGGACCGCTGTTCCACGCCCAGGAGATGGCGAAAACCCCACCCCATATCGTCAGGATTGGAGCACCTTACGCGTGTGTGTAATCCTAGTAGCTGCGGCTTGCAGTCAGTTGAGAAAGCGCAAAGTCTCTCTCTGTCTCTCCGCTTCCTCCAAGGAACACGGGTGCTCTCGCTATGCCTTTATTAGGTAAATGCTGGCTGCCTAGTAAAAGAGAAGCCAATAAGGGGCAGAGACTGCAATAACAAAGAACGCAATGAATGAAAATCCTGGTGTTTCTCCCCCCCCCATCCCATTATTGGCTATTTAGACGGAGAATTTGTTTTCATAGAATCGTAGAATGTTAGGGTTGGAAGGGACCTTGCAGGTCATCTAGTCCAACCCCCTGCACTCTGCAGGAGCACAGCCGAAAGATAGCCCTGCAACATCCCCGAAAGATGGTCGTCCAGCCTCCGCTTGAAAACGTCCAGCGAAGGAGCATCCACCACCTCCTGAGGCAGACTGTTCCACTGCTCAACCACTCTTACCGTTAGGAAGTCTCTCCTGATATTCAGCCAGTATCGACTCCTTTGTAATTCCCACCCATTAGATCTCTAGGCTTGCAATCCGGAGCAAGAGAGAATAGATCCGTTCCGTCTTCTACATGACAGCCCTTCAGATATTTGTAGACTGCGATCCTGCCCCCTCGAAGCCTTCTCTTTCCCAGGCTAAACATGCCCAACTCTTTCAGCCTTTCCTTGTAAGACTTGGATTCCAACCCTCTCACCATGCCAAAGGTCCCAAGTTCAAATCCCGGCATCTCCAGTTACAAAACAGGTGGCAGGTGATGAGAAAGACCTCTGCCTGAGACCCTGTTTTAATTGTTGTTAATTGTTGTTTTAATGATATTGCACCGAGTTTGTCGTGAACTGCCCTGAGCCTGTTTACGGGGAGGGTGGTATACAAATCAAATAAATAAATCAAACTATTATGATTATTATTAATAACAACAACAACAACAACAATATCATAGAATGTTAGAGTTGGAAGGGGCCTTGCAGGTCATCTAGTCCAACCCCCTGCACTCTGCAGGAGCATAGCCGTAAGAGAGCCCTACAACATACCCAAAAGAGGGTCGTCCAGCCTCCGCTTGAAAACATCCAGCGAAGGAGCATCGACCAACTCCTGAGGCAGTCTGTGTTCCAGTTCTCAACTACCCTTACAGTTAGGAACTTTCTCCTGATATTTAGCCGGTAATGTCTCCCTTGTAATCTCCACCCATTAGATCTAGTCTTGCAATCTGGAGCAAGAGAGAATAGATCCTCTCCATCTTCCACATGACAGCCCTTCAGATACTTGAAGACTGCAATCCTGTCCCCTCTCAGCCTTCTCTTTCGCAGGCTAAACATTGCCTATTAATTACTGTAAATGCGAAACACCCCTGTCCGGAGGGGGAGGGTCCTTCTTGCAGGGAGCCTTCACCTCTCCTTCGTGGGCCTTTCTCCCCTAGAAAACCCGGGCGTTTCACCGGCTGCAGGATGACGTGCCGTCGGAAGTGAAGGTCCAGCGGTTGAAGGAGCTCATGGCCGTGTTCCGGGAGGAGGCTGCCTCCGCCAATGCGGCTGCCGTGGGTCATACACAAGTGGTCTTGGTGGAGGGGGTGAGTATCCCGTTGAGCACGGGAAGCTGCCTTGCCCCAGTGGGGGTCCCTCTGGCTCAGTACTGCCTCGATCGGAGCAGGAGCGGCTCTTTGGTGTGGTGGTTAAGGGCGCGGACTCTACTCTGGGAGAACCGGGTTTGATTCCCCACTCCTCCACTTGCACCTGGCTGGATGACCTTGGGCAAGCCACAGTTCTGGTAAGAGCTGTCCTTGAAAAAAAGAGCCATTTCTGTCCGAGCTCTCTCAGCCCCGCCTACCTCGCAGGGCGTCTGTGGTGGGGAGGGGAAGGGAAAGGAGTTTGTAAGCCGCCCCGAGACTCCTCTGGGTAGTAAAGGGCGGTGTATAAATCCAGTCTCCTCATCCAATCTCCTACACCAGTTTGGTGTAGTGGTTAAGTGTGCGGACTCTAATCTGGGAGAACTGGGTTTGATTCCCCACTCCTCCACTTGCACCTGCTGATGTGACCTTGGGTCAGTCACAAGCTCTGGCACAGCTGTCCTTGAAAAAGAGCAGTTTCTGCCAGAGCTCTCTCAGCCCCACCTGCCTCACAGGCTGTCTGTTGTGGGGAGGGGAAGGGAAAGGAGACTGTAAGTCGCTCTGAGACTCAAAGTGAAGGGCGGGGGGTAAATCTAATCTCTTCTCCTTCTTCTTCACCTGGCTGGATGACGTTGGGCAAGCCGTAGCACTGAGAAGAGCTGTTCTTGAAAAAAGAGCAGTTTCTGTCAAGAGCTCTCTCAGCCCCACCGACCTCACACCTACTCAGCCCCACGTACTACTACCACTACTACTACTACTACTACTTCTTTGCCAGTTATGTGTAGTGGTTAAGTGTGTGGACTCTAATTTGGGAGGACTGGGTTTGATTCCCCACTCCTCCACATGCAGCTGCTGGATGACCTTGGGTCAGTCACAAGCTCTCTCAGTGCTGTTCTCTCAAGGACAGTTCTCTCAGAGCTCTCTCAGCCCCACCTACCTCACAGGGTGTCTATTGTGGGGAGGGGAAGGGAAAGGAGTTTGTAAGCCGCTCTGAGACTCCTACTGAAGAGCGGGGGATAGATCCACTCTCCTCCTCCTCTTCTCGTCTCTCTTCTTCTCTCTTCTTCTCTCTTCTTCTCTCTTCTTCTCTCTTCTTCTCTCTTCTTCTCTCTTCTTCTCTCTTCGTTTTCTTTCAGAGCTGTTCTCTCAAGGACAGTCCTCGAAAGAGCTCTCTCAGCCCCACCTACCTCACAGGGTGTCTGTTGTGGGGAGGGGAAGGGAAAGGAGTTCTTAAGTCGCTCTGAGACTCTGACTGAAGGGCAAGGGGAATAATTCCAATCTCCTCCTCTTCTCCTTCTTTCTTCTTCTTTCAGAGCTGTTCTCTCCAGAGCAGTCCTCGAAAGAGCTCCCTCAGCCCCACCCACCTCTCAGGGTGTCTGTTGTGGGGAGGGGAAGGGAAAGGAGATTGTCAGCCGCTCTGAGACTCCTTCGGGTAGTGAAGGGCCATGGGGTATAAACCCAGTCTCTTCTTCTTCTAGTTTCCAATTGCATAGCTGGAATTTTTTTGGAGGATGGGAACTGCAGAAGTGCCTAATTCTTGGGCACAGATGGACAGGAATGTAGGCTGGGTGTGTGTGTGTTGTGTGTTGTGTGTTCTGGGTCAGGAGTGGCTCATGTCCAACCCTGGCGAGAGGCAGCCATGTCACTCCACCCCCACCAATGTTCCCTCTAAGCTGTGGAGTCATGTGAGCAAAAATCCTGCTTTGTGAGCTCCTGGCATTAAAGTGGTGAGCGAGCGGTTTGGCTCCTGCATCAATCAGTTTGCTCTGGAGCCTTCCTTCCTGAGCAAAGACGAAAATGTGTGAGCCGGAGGCTAAAAAACTGTGAGCTAGCTCACACTCACTCAGCTTAGCGGGAACACTGACCCCCACCCAGTGGTTCCTTCATCTGTCTGATTGTCTTGAGGAGAGGCCACGGTGAATCAGCTCCTGTCTGGCTGGCCTGTCTGGCCGAGTGCCCTGGGAATGCTTGAATGTTCCCTGCTGGTCCGAAGCTGACCCCCTCCCCCCTTTGCTCCTCCAGCCCAGCAGGCGCTCCCCTTCCGACCTGTGCGGCAGGAATGATGGCAACATCAAAGTGATCTTCCCTGACGTCGAGATCGACGGCGGCTCCGGGCCCGGATCTGCAGCGAAAGCCAAGCCAGGAGACTACGTCCTGGTGGAGGTGATCTGCCCCTTGGTTGATTCGTCCCTTCGTTCAGGGACTGGTCCTGGGGACCCTTGTCTGGGCATCAATTCGTGCCGTGTCCACATGGGGCGTGACCAGGGCAGAATGAATCGTAGAAGCACAGAGTTCGAAGGGTCCCTAGAGGCCATCTAGTCCCGCCCCCTGCTCAGTGCAGGATCAGCCTAGCGCAGGGGTGTCGAACTCACTGGAAGTGTGTTATTTAATTGTGTTTGTCTGTGACACAAGGCCCAGCCCAACCAGGTCTCATTTATGTCAGATGCAGCCCTCATAACAAATGAGTTCGACACCCCTGGCCTAGAGCATCCCTGACAAGCACTTATCCAGCCTCTGCTTGAAGACTGCTGGGGAGGGGGAGCTCACCACCTCCCGAGGCAGCTGATTCCACTGCTGCACAGTTTGGTGTACTGGTTAAGTGTGCAGACTCTAATCTGGGAGAACCGGGTTGGAGCCTGATCCAACATTAGCTTCTCTTATGTTCTTATAAGAGGGAATTGGATGAACATATGGAGCAGAGGTCCATCAGTGGCTCTTAGCCACAAGGGGATAGATAGGAACTCTCAGTCTGGGGCAAGTGATGCTCTGTCTTCTTGGTGCTTTGGGCGGGGACGGGGGGCAACAGTGGGAGGGCTCCTAGTGTCCTGGCCCCACGGCTGGACCTCCTGAGGGCACCTGGTGTTTTTGCCCACTGTGTGACACAGAGTGTTGGACTGGAGGGGCCTTTGACCTGATCCAACATTGGCTTCTCTTATGTTCTTCTATGGAGCAGAGGTCCATCAGTGGCTCTTAGCCACAAGGGGATAGATAGGAACTCTCAGTCTGGGGCAAGTGATGCTCTGTCTTCTTGGTGCTTTGGGCGGGGGGGGGGGGGGAACAGAGGGGGGGTATGAGATGCACCCTCCCCACAAGTTTAGAGATTAGACTACTGTAACCCTCTCTACATGGGGCTGCCTTTGTCGCAAGTTCAGAAGCTGCAGTTAGTGCAGAATGCTGCCGCCAGGCTCCTGATGGGTCTCCCTGGATGGGAGCACATCTGGCCTGCCCTGAAGG